ACTCTCCTGAATCATAAACTTTATTATCTTTCTAGAGGAGTGGTCACTGTTAGAGATTATCTAATAACTCTCTTCATTAACTGGCTCCTTTGAGATAGAAAACAGCTGAATAAGGCCATTTTCTGATGTACTGACTTTCAGTGTAGCTGCCTTATGTATTCTCAACTAGGCTGATGAAAGCACAGAAGTCAGAAGGTTAAAATTAAGTGAGGAACTCTTGATCTCTAAAAGCATGTGTGTGATTTAAAAATATGGTGACTATTTACATTAAAAATTTTATGGCAGTGGTACTGGGGATTTAGCTCAGTTGGTTTCGCTGCCTGCCTTGCAAGCACAAAGACCCAAGTTAGATCCCTGGTACCAAAAAAAAAAATGTATGGCAGTAAATTTCATTAATCCCCCTCAAAACACTCCCCCTTGTTTCAAACACACTTTCTTGCTACTTTCTAAAGTAGTTCAGGAAGTCCTCTTTCGTGTCTTTAGTTGTGCTGTTGTGACTGCCTCAGTGTTCTGAATACATTCAAAACATTTACCTTTTGTGGTCATTTTGACTTGAGAGAAAGATCCAGAAGTTTCACAGTGCTAGATCTGGTAAATAAGATGGATGAGGACACACTGTAATATTTTTACAAAACTCTGTTGGATAGCACTTGTCAGCAGCATTCACTTAATTGCTGATCACGCCTCATGAATACACTCATAAAGAGGACTTCCAGAACTACTTCAGAAAGAATGATGGAACAGTTGTGTTTGAAGTAAGGAGGAATATTCTGAGGGGGATTAATGGCAATTTATTTTACTATAATTGTTTTATTTAAATTTTCACCATATAATTTGTTCATGCCTTATACTCTTTTGTTGACTACTGTCATGTATTACATTACCGAGCTTATTTGAAGTTTAGCTTATGAATTTTAGTATGGGATGAAGAATAGAATAGGTACTCAGTATATACATTTTTATTTTGACTTGATCCTGTACTTGTTTAAAAGTTGCTAAATTCTACTTGAGAGGTAAAGATGAGTAGGATGTAGACTAAGAACCAGTATGACTCTAATAAAATGTGACTTATTATAATGACATTGTCACGTGAAATAAATTTTAAATATAAAAATATTTTATTTAATAGTCAGTATAATGGTATTTCCGAAATTCTGTTTTGTGGGATACTAGTCATGTAGGATGATTTTAATAAGGGTGAGATGATCAATAAGTGGGAAAAATACCACATTTTTATTCTCCTTCTTGGAAATTCATCACACTTATACTTAGAAATAAGAATGTTGAGTTCTATAGGGTAAAAAATGTTTAACTTTTAAAATTTAAGTTTGAAGCACCCAGAAGGAAGCTCCGTCACCGGGATCCGAAACTCCTAGGGCAGAGAAGGTGAGCCACGCAGGTACCAGAAGCAAACCCCCGCCCCCCTGTGGAAATGAGAAGACACGTAAACAAGCCTCAAAAACAGACTTCTGGATCACCTACAGAAACCCCAAAGGGAAACAAGATGGAAAAATCTGATACTCAACCACCTCGTCTCTCTGAACTGGCAACAAAACAGGATCTGGGAAAAATGAAATCAGAAATAATTACTCAGATAACAGCAAAGATTGTGCTCATGATGCAAGACATGATTAATAAATCTAGAGAGGACACAGATAAAAAAATAGAGGATCTGAGGAACATGATGGAATCCCAACATAGGA